AAGGGCAGGCCGAGCGTGGAATTGACCACGGGCCCTCGTTGAGGAGCTTGGAGTGGCTCTGGGTCTGACTGGAAATCACCGGGTGCCCTCTGGGGAAGCTGTCGGGATGGAATCTGGACCTGACTCATGCTGTGTGTCCTTGAGAGAGCCGTGCACCCTCTCTGGTCTGAGGGTTTCTTTCTGCTCTGTGTGATTCCACTGAAGGCAGGGGGGACTTGTTTGGGTGGAGGCCAAATCCCATCCCTTGGGTCCCGAGTGCCCAGTTTCTCCATGTTCCTGATTCCTTGAATCCAGCCTCCCAGCCCCGGCCTTGGGGCAGTGTGGGGAGGGAGGAGGGCTGGTAGAAGCCCCAAGGCAAACCTGGCTGAGGTGTCCTCTTGCACCAGGTGACYCAGACTCTGCAGTGGGTGGTTCGCAACTGGACAGACCTGGAGAACAGCATCGTGTCCGTGGAGCGGGTGCAGGACTATGCCCGCACAGCCAAGGAGGTGAGGGGGGCAGCTGGACGCGCACCGGGCAGGGCCCAGGACCAGGTCTGCAGTGGGCTCTGGAGTCCGTACCCTTTTCTCTGTCACTAGCCCCGCAACCATAGGTGGGAGTGAGGGACAGAGCAAGAGCAATAGTGAAGATCATCAAGTCCTGCTGCCTACCTTCAGCAAGGGGCATCTGAGTGACAGGGGACCGGGGCACAGGAACAGCAATGTTCCAGGCACACTCCAGCAAGGTCACTCCATCATAGTGACAGTTACCTAGCAACAGTTACCTAGCAACACGGCGCCAAGACAGTGATGTTGGAGAAACCCGATAGCCACGTTCTAGCAACTKCAGAACCCAGAACAGAAACGTAATGTCCCGCAATGTCCCCTGACCCAGGAGAGCCAATCGGAGCCTGCCCGAAGAGTCAGCCTGGGTTCCCCGCACTGTGGACACTCGGGACGGGTTCTCTGCTCTCAGTGTGCGTCCCCATGTCACAGATGAAGCCAAGGCTCTGCTGGGGTCAACAAGGATCTGTTGAGGTCACAGGACTAGCACAGGCAGGGCCAATCCCCCCACAGCGCTGTCTTGATCCTTCAAGGACACCAAGGGGAGCGTCCCCTCCTGCCACTGGACRTTTTTTTTCAGCATCAACAGTGACAAATARTAKCAAGAGATACAAGGGGGCCACTTTRGGGAYGCCAGATGCAATCTGCCATGGGCCCTGCCGTCTCCCGGCTTGATTTCCACGACTCGGAGAACAGCAGTCCACGTGGCCACCTTGCAGAGGGGGAAGCAGGCGCAGGGAGGCGGCCRCCCTGGGAAACCTTGCAGGGAGCCACTCTGACCCCGTGTCCCTCCTCGGCAGGCTCCCTGGAGGCTGCCCTCCTGCGCAGGCCGGCCTCCCTGGCCTCGCGGGGGACAGATCGAGTTCCGGAACTTTGGTCTGAGACACCGACCCGAGCTCCCCCTGGCTGTSCAGGGCGTGACCTTCAAGATCCAGGCGGGAGAGAAGGTGAGCACCTCTCCCTGCACCCTCGGCACCCTGGCGGAGGCCGGCTCCCGCCTGCGTGTCCCGCCGGCTCGTTTCCACACCCTCTGCCTCCTCACTGGACTCATTCTCCCCACATCTGCTCTGGGGGCCACTTCCCCAGGCCACCCTGGTGCCCAGAGGGGCCTCTCTCTTCCTTCTCCTGCTGACCTTAACTGAACACCTACTGCGTGCTGGGCAGAGCCCACCCTTCCGTTCACGCTGCTCTGTTTGCTCCGGGTGGCTGCGGCTGGGCCAGGCCTGAGCGGGGGCCAGCGGTGTCACGTCTACAGGACGGGAACACCACCGCTGACCTCTGAGTCACTGTGACAGTTGACATAGCCCAGAGAAAGGACCCAGCGAGTCCCATGGACACGTGACGCTGGGTGACTGAACCAGTGGYGAGGGCACAGCCAACAAGGGGGCGCGAGGGTCCTACTTTACMGACGCCTAGTGGGGACCCTCCGAGATGCTCCTCCCTCCGGGCCACTCTGCTCAGCCTCCCTTCTCACCTCCTCCAACCTGGTCTCCGGGGTCTGCCTTTGAGAATGTCCTTCCCCTGGTCAGTACTCCCCAGCTGCTGCCCTCGGTTTGCCAGGGCTGAGCCACCTTGGGTGGGACAGCTGCTTCTGGGCCAGCCGGGCCCTGGGTGCTGTGAGATCAGCCTTTACCTGGGGTCCTCCCRGACCCCGAACTCCTACTCACCCTTCAAGGCCCCACCAAGCATGCCCTCCTCCCGGGAGCCTCCCCTGAGCCCCACCAAGCCCACAGGGCAGCRTGAAGGGCGCCCTCTGCCTCCCCTCAGCTGCTGTGCCCCCGAGTCAGCTCACCCCACTGTTTCCAAGAAGGGACAGTGACCAGTGTGGAGCAAGGACTTTTCGATGTCTTTATTCCTTGTGCTTTAAAGTGTGCGTGGCATATGGCGGGGAGGACCCACAATATCATTTTCTAAACAGCATTAAACCCCACCGTAGGTCAGGCACTGAGTAGTAGAGAGCAAAACGAGAGAAAGGGCGGGGACGGATAAACCGATGGTCAGAGGGAAGGATGCGGGTGGACAGGGCAGCAGGTGGACGGGAGGGAGGGCCTGGCCGGAGGGAGGGAGGAAAGGCTGGAGGCAGGTGGGTGGACGGGGGACCTGGGGGTGAGGCGGAGAGAGAGGAGGAAGCGGGGCCGGACGGATGGGCACACGGAGCGGTGGACCCAGGTGCCCGAGGGAAGGCCCTGGACGGTCAGGTCTTCAGCGCGGGGGAGGTCTCTTCCAAAGAGGTGCCCGCGACCTGGCCTTCCTCTGGCCAGGCCTGGTCCGAGCAGGCCKCGTCCTCCCGTTCCCTGCAGGTGGGCATCGTGGGCAGGACGGGCGCCGGGAAGTCCTCGCTGGCCGGGGGCCTGCTGCGGCTCCAGGAGGCCGCGGAGGGCGGGGTCTGGATCGACGGGGTCCCCATCGCCCACGTGGGGCTGCACGCGCTGCGGTCCCGGATCACCGTCATCCCCCAGGTGCGGCCCTGGGGGGGCAGGGGCGGGCCCAGGTGGGGGGGCGTGGCCGGGCCCCGCTGACCGCCGCCCCGCCCCTGGCCAGGACCCCGTCCTGTTCCCCGGCTCCCTGCGGACGAACCTGGACCTGCGGCAGGAGCACACGGACCAAGCCATCTGGGCGGCCCTGGAGACCGTGCAGCTCAGGGCCTTCGTGGCCAGCCTGCCCGGCCAGCTGCAGTACCAATGTGCCCACCAAGGAGACGACCTGAGGTACGGCCAGCCCCGCCCCCGAGGGACCGTCACCCTGTTAACCCCTGCCCCACCTGCGATCCGAAGGGTCAAGCTCCTTGTCGCTCAGTCAGCTTCTGCAAAGTCTTCAGCCCACTCGGTATTCATCTGGCCACCAAGATATCCTGGATGTTGGCGCTGACCTCACGGCCCCCGGGGCTCGGTGATCTCAGGTGTTGGCCTTTGCTTTAAAAAAATTTTAAGTGTGATCAAAACACACAACAAGACTGTTTCATCTCAACCTTTGAAAATGCACAGCTCTGCGGGGCGGAGCACAGCTGCCAGTCGGCCAGCCCCAGTCCACGGAGGTCCCGGGGCGTCCCCTGGTGCCTTCACAGGGTCTTAGCTCGGGCAAGGCCACCCTGGGGTTGGTAGGCACGGATGTGCATTCCTCAGGACAGAGCCCCGTCACTACCCGATGCATGAAGAGCCACTCACACGACAGGACTCAGAACTCCTCTTGCAAAATGAAACTTCTGTTCCATAAGCACTAACCGTCCATCTCCCCTCCCCCAACTGTCCATCTCCCCTCCCCCAGCCAGCCGCCCCTCTGCCCCCTGTCGGTGGGTTTGACAGCCGGGTCTTCAGATGAGTGGACTCAGAGGAAGGGCTGTTCGGGCCTGGCTTATTTCACTAGCACAGGGGCCTTGACGATCCTCTGTAGCTGGGGTCAGAGTCTCTCTCCTTTTTTATTTCTATCTATTTTTTTATTGTAGGTGAACACCTTAATTTTATTTTGTTCATTTATTTATTTTTTAATGTGGTGCTGAGTTTTGAACCCAGTGCCTCGCATGTGTGAGGCAAGCCCCAGCCCCAGCACCTCCTTCCTTTTTAAGACTGAATAATATTTCACTGTGTGAAATGTCCCCAGTTGATGCACTTACCTGTCCACAGGTGTGGATGTGTACGTGGTCGCCACCTTTTGGCTACTGGGAATCACTATGCTMTGATCACAGGTGGAGAGAAGTTTGCAAACCAAGATGTTCTGCATTTAAACCCCCTGCCCCGAGGGTGTCGGGAAAGGTCTGTGGGTGCGGTGGCTTCRGGCAGCGTTATCTTGGTGGGTCAGACGCCTGGGCTCAAATCCAGGCTCCCCCACTTCTAGATGTAGGACCCCGGGCAGATTGTCTAATGTCCTGGGTATCAGTCTGCTCATGGGTAAAACGTGTCTAACGGTACCAACCCCGGAGGGGGCGAGGACAAAGCAAGTGGGTGAAACTTCATGGTCTGCAGGAAATGAGAGTCATCATGGGAATCCTCAGACACGTTCTCACGAATCCCATCTCACAGAGTCGGAAGCCGAGGCCTGAGGCTTGCCCAGGGCCACCAGCTTGTCAGTGGTGAGGCTGGGGAGGGCCCRGGCACCAGGTGCCCACGTGGCCGTAGTAGGATTCGACTCTCTGACGAGTCCCTGCTGAGCCGGGCCCCGTGGCACCTGCCTGCCCTCCCAGTGACTCTGCAGGCKGAGGCAGGAGGATTGCAAGTTCAAGGTCAGCCTGTCTCAAATAASAAGGGCTGGGGGTGGAGCTCAGCGATAGAGCACCCCTGGCTTCAACCCCTGGCCCTGAAATCAGAATCATAATAAAATAACAATAATGAGGAGGCCCTGTTATGTGGACCAGCTGGTTTACTGAGGCAGGAAGCCMAGCATGGCAGGAAAAACCCAGCCAGGCTGAGTCCCCCGAGGCCAGTTCCTTCCTGGGTCCAGGGCCTCACCAGCTGTGTGACCTTGAACTTGAACTTCCCTATCTACAGTCAAGCAGCAGCTGCACGCTGAGGTTCTCTCTGACGAGCACCCACTTTTGTATGACTGACCCGGGGAGGGAGGGTCCATGAGTCAGAGGTCCTGGGTCAGAGTCTGGCTCCACCAGCAGCCAACACTGTGACCTCCCTGGGCCTGTGCCCTCCCCTGCCGGAAGCAGAGACCAGGGATGTGGTCAATGTCTGCGTGACACCCAGAGGGGTCTCCTGCATGACGTCAACCAGGGAGCAGAAATAGCCACGGAGAGAGAGAGAGGGTAGCCCTGTCACAGGTGGGGGACCGAGGCTCTGGATTTGAATGACCTCCTACAGTCAGCCTGCTCAAAGACAGGAGGAAGGGGGCGCCAGGCTCACCCTGGGGACCGGCCACCTAGGCCTACTCCTGCAGCCGCCCAGGGACCCGTGGGTGGGCAGGCTCTGTAAACTGTGACCTGCAGCAACCACTTCCAGCTGACTGTCCCCTCCCTGCAGCGTGGGCCAGAAGCAGCTCCTGTGCCTGGCACGTGCCCTTCTCCGGAAAACCCAGATCCTCATCCTGGATGAGGCCATGGCCGCGGTGGACCCGGGGACGGAGCTCCAGATGCAGGCGGCCCTCGGGGGCTGGTTTGCCCGATGCACGGTCCTGCTCATCGCCCACCGCCTGCGCTCCGTGATGGACTGTGCCAGGTCGGGTGCCCTCTGGGGGGCCCTCGGGGACCACCACAGGGGACGAAGGGGGGATGGGGTCGGGTGTGGAGCTGGAAGGGCTCTGGGGTGCACCGGGAAGGGCCCGGCAGGCAGCGGGCAGCACTGAGGCCCAGAGGGGAAGGGAAGAGCCCCGGACACTGGCTTCCGATGTGGTTGCACGGGTCAGGAAGCGGCTCGGGAGGTCGGAGTTCTGGGGGCAAGCCTTGGAGCAGGGTGGGGCTCGCAGAGCTGCCTGGGCGGGGTACCAGGGCTACCCTGTCTTCTCTCCTGCAGGGTGCTGGTCATGGACAAGGGCCAGGTGGCAGAGAGCGGCAGCCCAGCCCAGCTGCTGGCCCACAAGGGCCTATTCTACAGGCTCGCCCAGGAGTCCGGCCTGGTCTGAGCCAGACCCCTCAACTGTCCCCTGGCCATYGTCAGTGGCTCCCCATGGTGGCAAGTGGAGACTGCTACAGAGGRAAATGGCAGAGAAGGTGCCAATTGTCACGGACTATGGGACCCACATGGACCCCCAAGCTCCCGGGCAGCCGGGCAAGGCCCACTCTGCCCTGCCCACCCTGGGGTCAGACGACAGTGCCCCTCAGCCCTGGCTGGCCGCCAGACTCACCTGGGAGCTCACGGACAGCCCCGCGCTCAGGCCAACCCACGTGGATTAAACCAGACTCCCTGGGGCTGGGGCTGGGGGGCCTGCAACTTTTCCCAAATGAACTGTATTTGAGATGATTCTGRTCTAACCGGCCACTTTAAGAAGGAATAGGGAGAGATCACCGTGCCTCCTGCCCGGTTTCTCCCAGGGGGGTGACATCTTGCCAAGCCCTAGTGCAAGATCACAAGCAGGACTTGACACTGATCCGACCCCCTCTGGTTCACACCTCAGCTTTGCTCGTGGGTGCCTGGGGTTCCCACTCGCACCTCCCTGGCGGGGAAATGGAGCCGTCCCACGCCCAGGACCCCTCCTGTGGCTGTTCTGCAGCCCCCACCCCCATGGCCCGACACCTGCTGATCTGTTTTCCATCGTGATAGATACTGTTAGAGCCATGATGGCAGCATCKGCCAGGAGCCAGAAGGGCCGTCCCGTGGGGCGTCCTGTTCGGCACAGTAGGTGTAGCAGCTTCCTTGGGCTCCACCTGCCAGATGCCAACAGCATGTCCCTCCATGATGGTGACAAAATTCCATATACTGCCATCTGTCCCCTGGGGGGGGGAGTGTCGGATCACCTATCCTGTCCGCTGCCATCAGTCACCCCTGGGGCATGCACATGGTTGTGCTGGTACCAGGYGGGGACATGCCCAAGGCCTTGTCTCTAGGACTGGGTGCCTGCTCCCCCAAGGCAGGCCACGGGGCCTGGTCCTGATGGAACTTCTGTGCCCTGCCCTTCAGGACAGGTACTCTGCGTCTCAGTGACAGCTCCAGTCCCCCTTTGCCAAGACGTGGGCCGGGTCCCTCGGATGCCCTCCCCGCCCCCYGTCCAGTCACCGACCCGCTCTGTGGACCCGTTCCCAGCTCCGCYTTGCAGACAGGGAGAGGGCAAGGGGTCACCAGGGTTGTAAGTGGCAGAGTGGGCTTCGTTCCCGGGYCCCTCCAACACCTGTGCTCACGCCAGCCCTCGGCCTGTCTGCTTTAGAGAAGGGCTGGCCTGCGGGGACATTCTGCTCCTCTCTGCTGGCCAAGGTCACACAGACAGGTGTGAAGGGCACAGGGGAGTCAGCCCCCGGTGCCCCYGAGTGGTCACAGGCAGAGGCTGCTATGGGTTTGGCAAACTCAGCYGGGGTCACTCCTGGGCCACCAGAGTCTCCGTCATGGACCAGAGAGCCACGTGGGGGACACAGTGGCCRGCACGTGGAAGCCCTGGAGCCACTGAGGAGGCTGCTCTTGGCTGCCGCCGTGAGGCAGTGAGAAGGCCACCCAGGGCCGGAGCAGCCCTGCCCGAGGCTCCTCCCTCTGCAAACACACACCTGTGCCTGACACGGCTTCAAGGGCTGCCACACGGCGAGCCCWGCCAAAGGAGCGGGGCACTGTGGCTTGCCCCTGATGAGACGTTCTAGGACCTAGGACCTGGGGCAGTACTACCCCTACAGCTCTTTCTTGTTTTCTAGTACTGGGGACTGACCCCCGGTGTGCTTAACCCTGAGCCACATCCCCAGCCCTTTTAACTTTTTGCGACAGGGTCTAAGTTGCTGAGGCTGGCCTTGAACTTGTGATCCTCCTTCCTCAGCCTCTCCAGTTCCTGGGGTCCAGGTGTGAGCCACGGCGCGGCCCTTACAGGCTCTTCACGGATGTGCCCGGTGAGGCCGCGAGACCCTGTCACATGAGAAGACTGGGACCCTGAATTAGTGAGCAGGGTCTCCCTGACCCCCTGACCCTCAGGTGGCCCTCCTCCTCTTGGGCTCCCTGGCATCTGCGCTCAGCCAGGGCCACTTCTGCCCCAGAATCCCCCGGGGACGGCAGCAGAGTGCCCCTCTCCCCCTGGATCTGGGGGTTTGGCTCATACTGTCTACCAGTTTCCCGACACCTCGCACCCACGTGGCACTAGGGCCCCCTGTGTGTGGTGACGGATCCCACAGGGTCCACGTGTGTCCTCAGCGTGGGGCGTGGTCAGGGGTTTTACCTCTTCTGTCCCCACACAGCCCGGCCASGGGGCCGGGACGACCCTGGGGTGAGGCCGGGCAGGAGCCCACATCAGCTCCTGGTGTCGTGGGTGGAGAACAGGCAGGAGGGTGGCAGYTAGGGACAGAAGCCAGGAGGTCACCGAGGAAGCCCCGGTGGGGACATCATAAGAGCAAGAGGGCGGCAGCTGGGACAGGGTGGCAGCAGAGGGAAAAAGAAGTGGCCAGGCCGGGCGGGTGGCCCACGCCTGTCATCCCAGGGCTCCGGAGGAGGCTGAGGCAGGAGGATCGCGAGTTCCGAGCTAGCCTCAGCAACTTAGTGAGGCCCTAGGCGACTTAGGGAGGCCCTGTCTCTAAATATAAAAAGGTAAAAAAGGCCGAGGACATGCCTCAGTGGTTAAGCACCCTGGGTTCCACCCCTGATACCCTCCCCCCAAAAAGGTGGTTAGATCCTGCATATTTTGGAGAAAGTACCGAATTAGCATCAGATCTGAAAGAGGGCTAGGGTGGAGAAAGTGGCCAGGACCCCTCAATGGGAGCTTGACAGACACAGAGCCCAGAGCTGGGCACGCAGTAGGTGCACAAGAAAGCTCAGCCCCCCGCCGCCCCGGCCTTCAAGACATGGAAGCACTTACCTGGGAGGGGGAGGGCCTCACTCCGGGGTCTCTTCGCCAGATTACACTGACACCCAGCCCTGGGTTCCTCCTGAGCACCCCGCGTCCAGTCCTATCGACCCCGCCACCACCCGAACCCCGACCCGTCCAGGACCAACCCTCAAGGATCTGACCCGAGACTTCGAGGCCCAGGGCCAGGCTCCAGGACAGGAACCCGCCTCCTGCCCAAACCCTCCTCACTGACAGTGAATGGCCACTCGTGGGCATGGCCACGGCCTCCCCAGCTCCGGATCAGGGGCTGCCTTCCTGATCTGCCGTCTCTGGGGCAAGCCGACAGTGTCAGTCAGGGGACAGCAGTGCTTGGGGCACAGTGGAAGTGCTAGAACGTTCCATCTGCACCCGCACTTTACGCGTGGTCTTGGCATAGCCCGAAGGTCGCGCTCCCAGACTCGCCCAGTGTGAACTCAGACACCCCGTCCCACCGCCCCACGCCACGTCCACCGCGACAGGAGGAGCCTCCTCCCACGTGCACACCCGCATCTCCCAGCGTCCCCCATGTTTGGCTGGAGTGAGGCACGCGTGACCCATCCTGGCTGAGGGGCTGTGGGGGGACAGCTGCGGGCCTGCGACTCTCAAGAGTAGCAGGGACTCATCCATTTTCCCCTCCTCGGCTCCGGGGACCCGGAAGCCAGCCCTTGAGTGGTGTCCACAGGAGCTAGCGTGCAGGCTCCTGACCCTTGTGGTCACTGTCCAGGATTCTATGACTTGTTCCTGGAGCCCAGCCTGGTCCATCCCWGTACGAAGCCAGGGTCCAGGGCAGCGTTGGCCACATGGGATTGAGCTGGGCCACAGGTTCCAAACGCACCACAAGGTCATTCTGACCAGCCCCTTTACAGACCAGCCAACAGGGCACACAGCCTAAGYGACCTCCCCACAACAGGTGACYRGGGAAGGACTCCGATTYGKCCYGTCTGGCCCCAAAGCCCAGGCTCTRTGGGGCACCYGCTAATCCCACCCGGCTCCTGGGTTCTGAGGACAGTTCATTCTAGAAAGAACGCACCTGCCACATCCCRACTCCACCAGGGGTGTGACCTTTGCCAATGCCCCCAAAGAAAACAGAACAGCTTGTTTAGAAAGAAATAAAGTATTTTTTTTTACTGCAAATCATTTGCAAATGTCCACGTTTCCAGTGTTAAGTCATTACAAAAAGGTCTCCCAAGAAAACCTTGGATTCTCTAACGTGAAAGAATGGTATAACTTACAAAAAAATAAATATATATTCCCCTCTAGAAGAAGAAAGAGGCTTCTCTGGGTTTGAAGTCAGCAACGTGATTCATAGCARGTATGAATTTGGGGGCAGCAGCGGGCTCGCGCCGTCTTGGGGGGTCTTGCTTTGGTCTGTCACTGAGACACCTCAAGGTCCCACTCTGAAGGATCTTGGTTTTCCTCCAAGAACACGTGGACCAAGTGTCAAAGGCAAGGCCAGGTCTGGCCGTTCCCAGGCACGCTGCTCCTCCGCCGGACACTTCCTCCCAAGAGGTCAAACTCTTWAAGAGGGTCTTTTCCCCTGGAGCAGTACTTAAAAAAAAAAGAAGAAAGAGTTCTTTTATCCTGGGGGGAACTCCGTCACCAGATGTCAAGTTCTCCACAGCCTGCTCTTCGGCAGCCAGCCAGAGGGCRGGGGTGAGAAATCGAGGTCTAAAATCCAGAAGACGGGATTCTTTTTGGTACCAACTGGGAGCGCGTGGGATGCTTCGTAACCGTTGGCGGACCTGCACCTCTCCCAGGTACCGCGGGGCAGAGCCGCCCTGGCCCTGGTGAGAAAAGCAGGGAGGCCGGGGTGGGAAGGGGGGAGTCGGGAGTCGGGGGCTCCGGGTCTGGATCATCCGCTGGTCCACCAAGTCCCCTCGAGACAGGGTGCAGGGGGCCCAGGTGGCCTCCGGCAGCCGAAGCAAGTCCTGGTGGGAACCATGTTGAAGTGTCGGCCTGCGAGACCAGATGGTTGGCCTAGGACTGTCCCACCTGGGAGGGCCGCCGGAGGGTCGGAAGGATTCCCACCAGGCCCCTTTCCCACGGGAAGCAGAAGGGACATCAGAGGTGACGGGAGGCGGTGGGGACCGGGAGCATCCCAGAGGCGTGGGATCCACAGGCTTTGGCTGGAGAGACGCAAGGCAGTTGGCAGCATTTGGTCACTAGCGCATTTCACACAACCGACTTCTCCAGAAGTCTGGCCACCCAAGGCCCCAGGAGCCGCAGGCACCTCCAAGGTGTGAGATGCGGGAGAGCGGGCAGGCGTGAGGCCGGGCAGGTGGGCGCGTCTGGGCGGGGGCCTCCCCGCTCTCCTTGTCTTGGAGCCAATTCTGGGCAAGGGCCAGATGCCAGCTGCTGCCCTGTGTCCGTTCTGGTTTTGGGGTTTGGATTTTTTTGGTTTCTGCGTGGGAGGCTGGGGTTCCCGAGGACGCTGGCCCTGCGTGTTGAGTGGACGCACGGGCCCCGCRGCTCACACCAGGCCGGCGTCCCTGGCCATGCTGTAGAAGAGCCCCCGCTGCTGCAGGAGGTCCGACGGCGAGCCACACTCCCGCACCTCTCCTCTGTCCAGGACGATGACCCTGCAGGGGAGCGGGCAGACATGAGAGGCAGGAAGCGGTCCACCCGGGCCCAGGGCGTGGCTCTGGGTCGGCCCCCAACACCCTGTGCCAGGGCCGCGCCGCAGACTCCCACCCGGTGCCCGGCCTCACTCTACTTCCAACCCATGTCAGGTGGCATGAGACGGCCTCCMGAGTGTCCGCCCTACGCCTAACAGCGATGGGGAGTAGTGGGGACAGGGACATGCTCAGCTGTCCCCGTGCACTGTTCCATGGCACTGAGGATGGAACACACMGATCTCAGCACAGTCTACAGCGGGGCTCAGCAATTGTCCCCTGAAGAGGGCCAGGTGGCCTTTTCGGCTCTGCGGGTCACGTGGTTTTGGTCACGACTGTGAAAGCAGTCAGAGGTGACAGAGGACAATGAACAGGCRTGGCTGSGTGTCAATAAAACTTKATGTGTAAGGACAGGCAGGGGCCAGACCCGGCCTGGGGCCGTAGGCTGCGACCCCTGGTCTACGAGGTGGTACTAGAGGGTCCAACAGCGACCACTCCCCACCTCACTTCAGACTATCTTCCTGGTGGGTCTCAAGTGTGCAGTGGGGACCTGTCACACCGAGGTGCTGGCACACCCTTAAAGATGTCTATCACCCTGCACTTGAGCCTCCAGTGGTTCACGGCACCCTAAGTTCCAGATTCCTTCTTTTTTTTTGGGGGGGGGAGTGCCAGGGATTGAACTCAGGGGCACTCGACCACTGAGCCCCACCCCAGCCCTATTTTGTGTTTCATTTAGGGACAGGGTCTCCCTGAGCTGCTTAGCGCCTGGCTTTGGTTGAGGCTGGCTTTGGTTGAGGCTGGCTCTGAACTCACGATCCTCCTGCCTCAGCCTCCCGAGCCGCTGGGGTGACAGGCGCAGATCCCTGTTGAAGTTACACGGTGCTCCCACGTCCAGCCCTGCCTACCTCTCTGGCCTCTTCACCCACCACTGTCCCCTCCGTGCCAATGTCCAGCCCACTGGCCGGGCCAGCTTTCCAGCTCAGTAAGCAYCTCCCCGTCTCAGGGCTTCCAGCTTAGACTCTTTCTCCTTTAGACCAAAGGCTGGCAAGAGGCCCAGCCCGACTCTGGCCCCCGCCTGATCCCAGGAATCAAGTTTYATCAAGTCACAGCCACGCTGCTACCTCTCTGTGTGGCCTGCGGTGGCTTCGTGCCACCGCCATCCGAGTTGAGCAGCTGTGACGGAGACCGCTCGGCCGGCAGGTCTGAAGACACCCTGTCCCCTTAAAGAGAGGCTGCGGACTCCTGTCCAGATGGCCCCAGGCCGAGTCTGTGTTCCGCACCCTGCTCAAGTGTCACCTCGTGGGAGGGGCCTTCCCTGGCCACAGGTGTTAAACTTGAGGCTCTCAACGCCCCAGCCAGGGGCTGTGTGACGGCTTTTGTGCATCCTGGGCCGGAYGCCTCCGTGGCCACTTTCTCCAAAGCAAATGTCAACCCCTCTCCTTCCTGACCGTGTGGTAGGGAGGCAGCTGTGGTCCAGGCTGGGGGGGGGKGTGTRTTTAATTTTTAAAAGAAAACAGAMACACTGCCRTGTGCCCCAGGTGCCGCTCCTCCAGGGTGCCATGGGCAAGGGCCCTGCGTGGCACTGCCACCATCCCCTGGGGGACTTCCCTTCCGGCCGCATCGTCCTGTGAAACCACATCACTTGCTGCAATGTTCACTGTCCCTTGTGACTAAGCTGCCTGGTCCTGGAGGCGGGGGCTTCGTCTGACAGCGTCCTGAAGGGTCCCCACCGCCCAGAGCCGCCCTGGGCAGGCAGTGGGGACAGGCGCAGTGGTGCCTGCTGCCTGTGATGTCTGAACACCTGGCACCACCCAGGATAAGGAGGCTCCGCCACGGTAGGACGGAGGTGAAGGAGGGGTGGGACCGGCGGCCGCTCAGCCCGGAGCCCTGCGCGGGCCTCACCTGGTGTAGTCCATGATGGTGTTGAGCCGGTGGGCGATGGTGAGGACGGTGCAGTCGTCAAACTGCGTCCGGATGGTGGACTGAATGAGGTCGTCTGTTTCCAGGTCCACGGCCGCCGTGGCCTCGTCCAGCACGAGGATCTTGGTCTTCCTCAGCAGCGCCCGGGCCAGGCACACAAGCTGTCGCTGCCCCACGCTGGGAAGGAAGAGGCCAGAGAAGGTCAGCGCCCACGGCCCTGAGACGGGCAGGAGGAAGGAGCCGCTCTGTGCCGCTTCCACCAGGAGGGCACCCGCTCCGGGGCCGCTACCCAGGGCAGACAGCACTCATCAACCTCCTGCGTCAGCGGCAGGCTCAGGATGGGTCTCGGGAAGCTCCGAGGGGGCATCCGAGCCCTGGCCGGTTCAGAACGGCTGGGGGAGTAGATGGCAAAGGCGGCCCGGTGTCCACGCATCTGCGTCCACCTCTAGGGCTGACTCTGGACTTGGCCGTGGGCCTGGCCTCAGGCCAGCCGAGGTGGGAGGGCACTGCACACTGGGGCTGGCCCATCCTGYACCTCCCCCTCACAGGGACACGCCACTGCTGGGCTGCTGGAGGGTGAGCGGCACGTCCCCTCACCGCCCAGCTCAGCTCAGAGCCGACCCCCGACTCCTGAAGGAGCCCAGCCAAGGTCAGCAGAGCCCCGAGGCCGACCACCCCGGGGCGCCCACGGCTGCCACTCGCCAGCACAACCCTCGCTGGTGGTCACGGCGACAGAGTAGACGTGAAGGGACCCGGTCTGCCTGCCGTGGGGCTGGGCACCCCCCCAGGCCTAACAGACGCAGGAGGACGAGTCTCTCCATGCCCGCTGAGGGCACCCGCCAGGGCGCCGCGCCCCCTGCCCACCTCAGGTTCTCCCCGCCTTCCGAACACTCGTGGTCCAGCTTGTCGGGGAGCCCCGACACGAAGCTCTTGAGGTGAGCCAGCTCCAGGGCCGTCCACACCTCGCCGTCCGAGTACTGGCTGAACGGGTCCAGGTTCATGCGGAGGGAGCCCGAGAACAACACGGGGTCCTGCAGGGGGAGAGCAGAGGGCCCCTCAGCGCCCGTCCCCCGGGGCCYGGCTGGAGCACCGAGGCGGGGCATCAGACACGGTCCCCAGAACTGTGAGGAAGAGCTCTCAGCGTCCCCAGAACCTCACCCCGGAGATGTTGGCAGTGAGAAAACAGTTTGGGAAAACCTCGGGCTGATGGGGTAAAACCCATCTTTTTCTTTTTCTTTTTCTTTTTGCAGAGCTCCTCAGAGTTTCCAATATGCACTCGGGTGGGGACCGTGGAGGAGGGAGAGTCCTGGGAATTCCTCCCTCGGCCCCCKCCCCCCAAAGAGACCCTTAGAGGAAACTTAAGAAAACCACACAGGCCACAGATGAGCTGCCTCTTCCGGGGATGAGCCTAGAAAGTTCTAGAAAGTTCTTCTGCCTAGACCTAGGAAGCACGAGATCGTCATCCTGACCCCATCTCCCTGAGGATCCTGATCACCTCATCTGCAGAGGCTCAAGTCTCACACACAAAACAGATTTGCACAGGACCTTCTCACGTCCTCCTGTGTRGCAAGCCATCTCGATGACTCACACCTGTCACGGCACAAATGCTCCGTGAACAGGCGGCACACTGTATGGTTCAGGGACTGACGTTAAGGAAAAAGGTCTGTGTGGGTCTGGTGTTGGGGACTGAGCCCAGGGACTCTACCACTGAGCCACACCCCGAGAACTTGTTAGTGTTTTTGAGACAGGGTCTCGCTAAGTTGCTGAGGCTGGCCTTGAACTTGKGATCCTCCTGYCTCAGCCTCCCAGGTTGCTGGGATTATAGGCGTGCACTACCATCGCCTAGCTCAGGTGCAATTAAAAAAAAAAAACAAACACCTCTGATCTGTGATCGACAGAATCCACAGACGTCCAGGCCAACGTCCCATGAGGGCAAGCACAGTCTCGGCAGCCCCAGGCCCCACCCCCGCGGCCCCCYCAGACCCCACCTGGGGGATGATGGTGATCTTGAAGCGCAGGTTGTGCAGGCCGATCTTGGCGATGTTGACGCCGTCGATGATGATCTCTCCTTCCGCGGACTCGTTGATCCGGAACAAGCCCAGGGTGAGGGACGACTTCCCGGCTCCCGTGCGCCCCACAATGCCAACCTGCAGGGCAGGAAGGGCAGGGGTGAGGTGGGGACCAAGGAATCCGGGCCGCCTCAGCCGCACGTGCTCTTGCTCAGTGCCTGGCCCAGGGCAGCTGGCCACCTGGTCCACCCCACTCCCTCCKCGGCCTCACCAGCTCCCCAGAGACTCCGTGAAGGGCTGTTTAGGACAAAGAACTCCGTTCCCCTCGCCAGGCCCCCCAGGAGCTGGGGCACTCTTTGGGGATACTCTCTTACCTGCCGACCCCAGGTTTTCACCTCTCACCCTGAGCTGCTGAGACCCCTCGGGTTCGACTCCCTGCACCCTCTGGATACCTTATACCCACTGTCTCCACTAGAGGGAGCCGGGCTCCTGGCTCCGGGCAGGGCCTCGAGTCCCGACGTCCACCCACAGCTTCCCGCCACCCGGGCTCCCTGGCCCCTGCCAGCCACACCACGGCGCAGCCTGCACACAACAGTGCCCACACGTCACACGAGCCATGAGGATCGGCGCCTGCCCCGTCCTCCCCTGGACACAGGCCAGGGAATCAGCTCGTGGGAACGGGGACCATCCAAGCCCGTGGCGGGGACAGTTGACAGATCCATACGTGYAGAAATGCAAAGGGCCAGGAACAGCCTTGACCCGATTTCTGAGGAAATCCTAAGAGTCTGGAGCAGGGATGTGCTCTGGGAATAGCTTGGAACCCAGGGAGAGGTTTTAAAATCCCAACTTCCCCTGAGCCGTCCCCAGCACTCCCGGTGACATCCTGTCACTCCAGCGATGGCCAACGCCAACCAACGCCCTACAGGGGCCCATGAGCAGCCGGAGTGAACTYGGGGGCCGGGTCTCCTTAGGGAGAGCCAGGCTGCGGGGGGCCCCATGTTCCTGCTTCCAGAAAAGCAGGAAGTGAGTTTTTATATAAAACGTCAGATTTTTTTCAGGATTTGCAACGTATTCAGATCTCCCCCCTGCCCCCCAAAACACATCTGCGGTCCTCATTGGACCCTCGGGGTCCCAGAGGCAACCTGCTGGGCACACTCTGACCTGCCCTCACTTCCACCAGCCCCGGTAGGCGACACAGCGGCTATGGACGGGCTGGGGACGTCGCACACCCACCTTCTCTCCCCCTTCGATGGTGACRTTGATGTGCTTGAGAACCAGGTCCAGGTCCTCTCGGTACCGCAGCCCGTAGTCCCGGAACTCCACTCGGCCCACCTGGGGCCAGTTGCTGGGGGGCGCTGTCTCGGGGACCTGCCAGGGAGCCTACAATCACAGGGAGGGGCCGGAAGGGAAGAGACGGTGAGGAATCTCGAGTCCATCCTGGTGTCCAGGCTCTGCTGCGCCAGCTCCCTCACTTCCGCAGAGCTCATGTCAGTGTGACCCCCTCCTGGCCCTGGGTCGCCTGTGCCTGCCCTGCTTCCCCCTCCTGCCGATCACTGACCGCCGCCTGAGCAGTCCTGGCCCACCGGCCCTGTGASCACAGGCTCTGCCCTGCTCAGTGCAGTCTCCTGGGGCTCGGAGCACACAGTAGGTGTGCTCCGTCAACATTTACAGACCAAATCAACATGTGAGTGGTCTTCTCCCAAGAGTCAAGGTAGGTATTGACAGAGATGGGTCAGGTACAGGATGGAGTCCCAACCGGAGGAGTACCCAACTCACCCTCCTGCTCAGGCAGAGTGGACACAGACATGGCTCAGAGGTGTCTTTCGGGCAAAGCTACACTGAAGACCAAGGCCAAAAGGTCGGGTCAGGGCCCTTCTTTACCTCCTTCTCRGTTTCTGAATACTCCTTGAGTCTCTCCACAGCCACAATGTTGGTCTCCATCTCGGATGACATCCGAACCAGCCAGTTCAAGTAGGCGGTGATCTGCAAGGGAAAGGGTCGTGTGGAGTTTCYAGCGGGAGAAGAGCTATTTTATTTTTGTTAAGTAGTTATGAATCATGAAATGTTTCAGATGTGAAAAGTATAGAAATCAGCAGCCCCACATACAGCCATCACCCCAACTTACCACACTTAGGTACTTAACTACCACAGTTTTCAAAATGACCCATAAGCTATTTGAATAATCAGAAAGGAGAGTCAGAAAACATTTCAAACTAGATGATAATATGGAAACACTATGTATCAAAAGTCACRAGGTGCAGCTAAAGCCACACTTAGAGGGAAATTCATAGTCTTAAAAGCATTTTCYCCTGGAGCTAATGCATCCCCTCAAGCCACCAAGGAATTTTATTGGCTGATGGAGAATCCTGGCCCCAYGTCCAATTCCTTTTCTATACCTGGTCACCAGGCTCTGTACTTCTCAAATTCCACTCAGCCCCTTTCCTCCCCCTCCATATGGGAACCCGAAGACCCCCATTAGGAGACTTTCATCATCCAGGCGAAGCGACTCCTCTTACCTGCAAAGAGTAAGACACAGAGAGGCCCACCAAGCCCGCGCTGAGGCTGTGCCGGGAGATGACCGCAAACAGGGAGGCAAAAAAGACTATGAAGTTGCCAACGCACTCCAGCCTCACAGCCAACCACCTGCTCAGAGAAACAGGCCGACAGACAGACAGACAGACAGACACACACACACACACAGTCAGCTTTTCAGAGACCTGGCTTCTGGCCAGTGGGGGGAGAGGGGAGTCCATCCGCTAACTGAAATAACTCCCTGAGAGTTCTGCAGAAAGGCCATCTCAGCTCGGCTCGTCCAAACACACAGCCTGGCCCCAGGGGAAGGAGGGCCCAGGGGGTGCCCCGTCTGTAACTCTGCACCAGCCTGGTAAGCCCAGGGATCAAAATAGGGTTCTGCAGAAGCCGCTTAGGCAAGAATGTCATCCCTGCCCAAATACCATGACCCRGCTTTTTCTCGGGAAGTCTTTAAAACACACACAGGCATAAAACACGAGGCCCCAGACATTCCCCGGACTCAGAAGCCATCAAGTGCAAGAGGCAGCTCTGGCAAGAGACGAATCCAGAGAGAAGCCTCCGTTTCTCAACCTCCCTCCCCCATTCCCAGACTCCTCCGGATTTGAGAAACATGAAAAAGAGTCCTTTGCCTTTTAAGAATATAAAGAGATGCTTCGCKGCTCAACGCTAGCTCAGAGGCCCTCCCCAGGGTGAGGGGCACTACTGTGGGGTCTGCACTTGGGAAGCATTTTTTACTTCCTTAGGGAGGTGGTGCTGGGGGTCTCCCCTCCACTATGACCCATGGGATCCACAGGACGGACCCTCGTGTGAGAGATAGTCCCGTAGACGAGCCAGATGGGGACAGACCCTCTAAAAATTCTACAAGGGCAGCTGAAGACCCTTTGTCATGGACGGTCCCTTCACCCACTTTTCTACTCTGACGGTGTAAAGCAGGCCCACGTTGGTCACGGGTCACCTCCAGGCCAATTCTCGGGCGTATGGGTTGGAAGTGGGTGTGAAGGAGGCTGTTCTAGGAATACATCAGGTTCTTGTCTAACGTCTGCCTCTCTCTGACTGATGCTCCTCACTCCTGAGCCACAACATGGTGGTTTTTTATGTGGCTCAGTTTAGTGCTCGTCAACTGTTCTGGACACACCCCCCTCAGCAGGARTGACCGCCCCTCGTCCAGGGACGATGTGCAGCAGAGGACCTGCTGCMGAGGAGCTGCGTCCCAGGGACGGCACCTGGAGCGTGGTGCTCACAGGTGGACTCCGGGGAACTCTGTCCCCGCTCTGTCGTGCCCTGGGTCCCTGCATGCTGAAGTGCTCCCGCGTGCTCCAGGGGCCACTGGGACCTGCCCCGTCCCCAAGTCTCCCCAGCCTTTCTGCCAGGGCCCGAGTTGTGCGAGGTGCMCCACGGCACTGAGGCGAGGGGATGAGGTGCTCGGCGGCCCCGGCCCCCCACAGGCCAGCGCACCTGTTGGCCACGATGCCGGGGTAGTAGGCCTTCTGGTTCTCGTCCACCTTCAGGTCACTCTGGCGGATGAACCGCTCCTGCTCCTCGAAGGCGCGGATCACGCTGACCCCCAGCAGGGTCTCGTTGAAGTGCGAGTACACCGGGGAGCGGCTGACCGACTCGAGGCGCTTCAGCTGCCGGGAGGAGGCCACGTAGAACCTCTGCGGGTGAGGGACGGAGGACGGGAGTCAGTGCCGGTCCCTGCGCCCATCCTCCTGAGGCCGTGCTGGGGCACGTCTGGACACGGCAGGTCCTCCAGGTGGCCAAGTGCTGAAGCACAGTGTCCTTGACAGTGCCCCACCCCTGTGGACGGGGACGGCRGGGACGGTGACAACAGCTAGTGCTGACCGACAGCCCAGCCTCCCAGGTGCTGCCTGCCCACCTTCACCTACRCCTGCCTCCACGATGCCCATGGCAAGCCCAGCAGGTGCTCCGTCCGGCTCCCCCAGGAGGACATGAGCACCAGACCTGAGCCACCCCCTCCGGAGGCCCCACGGCAGGGAAGTGGCAGAGTGGGACTCAGGGAGGCAGCCTGGCTGCAGAGTGCCACCGACCCCGGGTCCAGGGGCTCCGGGACRCAGCAGGGTGGCTTAATAAGTTTTGAGGCCAACCGGACCCGAGTTCAAATCCTGGCTCTGCCATTGCTGTAAAGAGAGCCAGGGACTTATTCCTCTGAGTCTCGGTGTTGTCACCTGTAACGTGGGGACAAGGCCTGCTCACAGGGCTGTGGGGAGGGGAACACGTGAGYGTCACTCTTCCTCTGCACACACGTGTCTGCACGCACACGCGTCCCACACACACACACAGAGGTCGGGAGGCTCAGCACCGGGCGACGCTGGGCTGAACCACAGACGCAGACGAGGACCAGCAGCTCCACAGGCCTCGAGTGAGCAGGTGCCCTCAGAGGACAACTACTGCCATCAGTAAGTGACAGGATTGAGCCCATCACGTCCCCAGGCAGTGACGGYACTCAACTCCCCTGCACTGACCTGACACGGGACGAAGGTCAACTCGTCACCCAGGCCTYAGTGGCCCCCGGTGCTCTCAGGGGGACCAGCCCTGCCCCCTGCGACTGTGTCCTGGGATGTGGCTGCTGCCCCTGTGCCCAGGCCACTGAGCCTCTTGCTCCCCGTATTCACCACCAGCCCTGCCCGCAGTGGCCCTCAGYGCCCAGCGGAGGGCGCAGTAGCTTCACCTCCCGGGCACCCTGGCCCCAGGTGGGGCCACCGCTGCGGCTCGCTGCCTGGCTCCCGCCCTGGCTCCTGACCTCGGGGCTGTCCACCAGGCAGCTGCCGTCTTTCCTCGGCTCCTGCTCTGCCCTGGGCATTCAGCCAGTGGCAGGCAAAGCAGCCCGGCAGGGCTTGTGGGAGACGGAGTGAGAGCCAGTCACCCTCCGGAAGCTTCCAGAAGCCACTGAGCAGAGGCTGGACTGGCCACTTGAGCTCTCCTGGCCCTGGCTCTGCATCTGCACCAAGGACACCAGAACAGGGACCCGGGGCCCTAGCAGGACAGCTGACGGGGAACTGCTCTATCTGAGTGCTGTGGGGACCTGGCCTCTGACCTCCGGTCCCAGCCAGGAGCACTGGCCACTTTGGGGCAGAGTCCCATGGAGAGCTCTGAACCTAACAGGAGGCTTCCGTGGGGCCTCAGTGGCCGGCGGCTTCTCTCTGGGCGGCAGGCTCAGCGGTCATTTGAGCCCGCAGGCGGGCAGCTCTGGGCCAGCCCGGGCTCCGGCCAGCCCAGCGGTCTCCGAGGGCTGCAGCCCCAGGTCCAGGAGCCCGAGGCGCACAGCCGTCCTGCCGCTGCGCCCGCTGCACCGGCTGCGCCCGCTGCCTGGGAGGAAGCCAGACGCCCGGCCTGGCCGAAGGCCCTGCAGGCCCCACCCTCCCTGGACCCCGGCCCTCTGGGCTGACCGTTTTGTCTTTGGTCCTGGGGACAGAACCAGGGCCACTGACGCACGAGCCCCAGCCGCAGCCCTGTTTTATTGTGAGACGGGCCTCGYGGAGCTTGACGGGCTTCAGTCACTCTCCCGCCTGGGAATGAAGCCGGGTTCRGGAAGCAGCTACGATCTTGGTGAAAGGCTCAAGGGGCCCCGGAGGGCCGGGGACCGCACCTCCCTGACTGCGCTGCTGCCCGTGCTCTGGGTCACTGGTCCCCAGGGTGGYGGGGTCCAAGGTGGGGCTGGTGGACAGGGCCCAGCCTCCTGGGCCCCAGCGGCACAGAGTGGTGAGGGGTGGACACACCCCCKGGTCCCTCACTCTCACCCAGCGGCCACGTGAGGCTCCCCTCAACAGCCAGCCCCTCTGCCACTCTGCTGCAGCCAGTGCCTGGGGACAAGTAAGGACACGGGCTCAGGAACCAGACAGACCTGGCGAATCACATGCTTCCTTCCACCCCCGGGCAAGACGCTCCTTCTCTCTGAGCCTCAACATGCCGGCCTGTCAACTGGGAASGTGACACACTCCTGGGCTCAACAGTCCCACTTGACAGATGAGATTTCTGCTGGGATCTGAAACGGGTCCAGCCCAAATCCTGCCCTTCCTAGCCTCCCTCACAAACAACAGTGGTTCCATGACCAAGTTCTGGAATATTAGACRTATTGAAATGGGTACTGCCGATTCAGGAATCATCTGCTCCCTCGTCCTGTTCCCCTAACATTAATCTCATCATCTGAAAAATAGTTGTGATGGCTGGAACTCCAGCACCCATCCTGGACCATGAGACCAATTGAAGAATGGCAGCCTTCTGTGAGATGGGGGACAAGGAGATGAGAAAACACAAGTGGAATATTAACAAACTCCTCGAGTGGCCACCCCAGYCCTGCACTTGCTAGAACACGCGTTTCCTTGCTGCAGGCTCAAAATGACCCGTGCACAGGTGTTCAACATGGACAGAAGCAAAGCCCGGCCCTGCAGACAGAGGCTCAGCGCCCGGCTCTGGGGAGGAGGCGAGGTGAGAGGAGCCCTTAGGTGAGCGAGGCAGAACGCAGCGCACAGTAGGGCTGCCCGGGCCGCCAGGCCCCGCCCTCACCTGCACGAAGAAGTAGAGGAGGCCCAGGGGCGGGATGGTGACCGCGGCGATGGGCGTGGCCAGCAGGATGATGATGCAGGCGCCGATGACGTTGCACAGGGAGCCCAAGAACATCTTGATCACCTGCGGGATCATGGAGTCCACCGTGTCCAGCTCCTTGGAGAAGCGGTTCACCAGGTTCCCGCTGGGGGTGCGCTCGAAGAAGCTCATGGGCGAGCGCAGGACGTGGTGCAGCAGGTCCAGGTGCAGGCGGCGGGACGCGAAGATGCCCCCGATGGACACCGTCATGGAGTAGCCGAGCACCGAGATGCCTGCGGAGCAACCCCGTGAGCTCCCGGTCCTCGGCTGCCCGTCTGCAAAACAGGCCTGAGGGGCCTCTCCCCCTGTCCCTCGGGGTCACCCTGCGAAGGGCTACTGAGGGACAGGGTCTGTCCATCTGGGCTGGGTCCCCTAAGGATGTGGGGGACCCGATTMTGTGACTGGATCCCAAGCGATGGCCGGTTCCACGCTCAGGTGGGCACAGGGGGGCAGGGCACCCACCTTGGGCAATGCCCAGGCCTCCGTAGACACCCAGCCAGAAATCGGTGTGCTCCTGGGTCCCGTTGACCACGGGGKTGTCCGTCCAGAGGCTGAGCCAGTAGTTGGAGGCCAGGGCAGACACGTGGTTGCACAGGAAGAGGAAGATGCTCAGGAAGGACAGGCAGAGCCCGATGGCCTTCATGTAGTCCCAGTACACGGACAGCTTCACCTGGGGGCGGAGGAGMGGCCTCCGAGGTCAGCGACTGCCCGGCAGAGCGGCTGCCTGCCTGTCCTGCCGCCTCTCTAGCACAGAACTAGACATCTTGACCCAACCCAGGGCGGGAGGCGTGGGGCAGGATTCTCCGGGGAAGTGACATTTAAGAATCCACCAGGGGCTAGGATGCAGCTCGGAGGCTGGGTGCTTCATCAGCAGGCGTGAGGCACAGGCCCGAGATCCATCTCCAGCATCACAAAGACCCAACAAAACTATGGAGCATCAACCTGTGCAAAGGCCCTGAGGTACAAGGGAGTGTAGCAGGCTTGGGGGACTGAAAGGAGGAAAGGGTCGCTGAACAGAAGCAGGGGGTCCCAGCCACCCAGGTGGCCTGGGGGCACCTATCAGGACTCTGAGCTAATTCCAGGACCATCAGAAAGTCTTCAGCAAATGGGAAGGTGGGACATGTTGCCTAGCAACCAAGCATCACCTCCCTCCCTCCCTCCCACGACAGGGCTCTGGGCCTGCCACTCCGCTTCCTCTGGGCACCAAGCACCGGGCTGCGGTTTTCCTTGGTAGGTGCTCGCTGGGCTCCATGGGGACACTTGGGGGTTTCCTGTGGGGCCCAGCAGGGGGCGTGGTGTCCACAAGCCCCAGGGCTCCCTCCTGGGGGTGTGCCTGGGTCATCACAAGCGTGTCAGCTGCTTCCGGGTCAGGGCCCTGCAGCTGGCTGAGGAAATGGGCCCCGCGTGGGAGGGCTGCTTCCCTCCCGGCTCCAGCTTCTGCCTCATCCCTCACCACGCGCCCAAGCTGCCTGCCGTCCCTGCAGCTGCCCCGCAGGGCTGGGACACCTTCCCGGGGGCAGTAGGAYGTGGTGGCCCAGGCTGCAGAAATGCTCCACTCTCAGGACGGCATGGCTGCCTTGTCTTGGGCTGATCTCTGGCGCCTGGGAGGGTCAGAGCCTGGCACAGCCCGGGGCGAGAGCCACAGGGAGAAGCGGCCAGCGACCAAGGGTCCCGGGGGACTCTGGATACACCCGGGGGCTCCAGGGGTCGTGCCCAGCCTTGGGTTCCCCTCCTGCCTTCCCCCGGTGGTTTGGTTTGGACGGGGCACTTATTGGGGGGGGGGGCACCAGGCCTGGAGCATCCTAAGCACGTGCTCTTCCYCTAGCTGCACCCGGCCCCTCTCTTAGCATGACCACGTTTATTTTTGAAATAAACTCAGCAGCTCGGGAGGCTGAGGCAGGGGGATTGCG